CACTCTCAACTTCCTGTGCGTCTCACAGACCTGAAGGAATTCAAAAGGCATCCCCCCAAACCCCCAAGAATCAACTCAAGAAACAGCAGGAGGTTTTACAGCACTGCCTATCTCTTCTCACTATGCTGCCTGCCTTGTTTACAGTGAATACAAAGACAAATCTGCATGCAGCTAGAGATAAGAATTTCAGCACCCTTCCTAGAATAAACCGATTTCTGTCCTTTTTTATTTCTAAAGCGCTTGCCCCTTTCACAATATGTTAGAAAGCATACTTGAACAAATTTCTAACATTCAGTTTGGTAACAGATATCATAATATTCTGTAAGAAATGCAGTGCTAAAAGCATCTCCTTTCACTTGCTTTGCACGGCAGGGACAGATGTATTGCCATTACAGGGGGGTACTCATTTCCTGCGCATGTTGCAAAACAGCGCTTGAGACCTTATCTCAGCGTTGTGATGCACAAGCCTAAACTGAAAGACAAGCAGGCGCACGATTATGAAGACTGCATGCTGCTCTCTTTCTTAAAAGCAAAATGTCTTTTTAGTCCACATTTGCCCTCGTCAAGGCAGCAGTTTTGAGACATCACTCAAACAATAAAAAGTACAGGGAAATCATTTAACTTCAAGGCTGACAAAATAGCAATGTTTTATTTCTTTAATCAAGAATGAAAGTACTGCATGAGAAAGAGATTGATACACTACTCTGCAGTTTCCTTTTGTAGAAAATAAAACCATGACAGTGTACAACCCAAAGAGTAAAATATGTTTGGATAATCTATTTCTAAAGATTAAACTATGCCTCCAACAAATATTTCAACCAACACTAAACTTTAGATCTACTCAAGTGTACTCATACAGCAGAACTAAAAAATTGTCAAAATAGAGCTAGTGCCCTCCAAAAAAAAAAAAACTACTCTTAAAAATTAAGACAGCACCTCCAGTTTTCCACTCAAGCAAATGAAGTAAAACCCCAATTCAGGGGTGGCGTTTAAACTGGATGAACCAAAAAATATCACATTGTCATTGTTGTCAGATTCGCAAGCGACACAATCCAAGTATACTTTTTTGTTTTGACTCAGTTACAGTGGTTACCTTGTCTAGGTTAAGCAAAAGACATTGTAGATGTTAAACTGTGTTGTTCTACAATTAGACCACGCCTACCTAGGTTCTGGGTGACCACTGGGGTGAGCAACAGCTTACAAAAATAAACGCGGTCAAAAACAATAGACAAATACTTCTGGTAAAGGTGTCAACACCTAATAATCTGACAAAATTCTTACGTTGCCTCAGGATTTTGTGAAATGTATTTAGAAACATTCTCTTCCTCCTTTAGGTTTCTGGTTACTGATGCCTCTCAGCATCACATTACAAAAAAAAAGGAGGGTTCAATTCCAAAATTACCCTTTCTTTCTTAGGTTGAGGTTCTTCCATTTTTCTTAAATTTTAAAATTTTTTGTTTTGTTGGAAAAAAATGCTAATTTGAATCCTTCCATTCAGAATCTTTAATACCCTATGAACAGTCATTAAACCTGGTACGGTTGCATTTAAAGGCCAACAGAAACTAAAAATGATCCCAGAACAAGGCAAAATGAACTGTGGGAACAGAGGGTTACTGACTCCAAATGCATTAATATAGCTGACTGCAGATAGCATCATAAGAGCTCAGTCTTAATTCATCGATGAAAATGAAAGCCCTGACAATACAGATCACAGAGGAAAGCTTCTTCAGCTGTGGTAGACTGACATGGTAGCACTGAATCAGGCTGAAGAGTAATTGCTCCAAAAAGTAGGTATAAAGAGGAAAAACTATCCGTTTCTATTTCTTACAGTGTTAGACTAACACCTCTAACTATGATATGGAAAGGTGTTTTTTAAAGATAGAGAAAAAAGCTCCACACAAATGGTTTTCCAACTCATTTGCTGACACTGCGCTTGTTTAACAGTGCTTTCTGAAAGGCATCAAATATAGGAAAGTGACATTCTCTACATACTAGCATTGAATATAGGACCTTAGATATTTTTAGATTGCCTAAGCAGCACCTCCCTACCCATCTTTTCAGATTCAGTTACTTTTAGGTCATGCAGACGGAGTCTGTGACCTAAAAGTAAAGCCATTCATGTTCAGCTGCTACTTAAGATTGTCACTTAGCGACTCACTGTAACAGAGACCTTAAATTTAAATATCGGCACTTGGGGCAGCACGGTGGCACAGTGGTTAGTAGTCTTACTGTTACTTTAAACATGCTAATAATGAACTGCTCGTGTGAAGATCACTCCATACAGAAACCACCATTTTTTGTCCAACAAATGTTCTCTCAACAGCATATGCGGGATTCATTCCCTTTTTTTTTTTTACCAAATTCAATTCTCCTGTGGAACCTTCTTGTTTACTTTAGGATTCTGCTCTTGGAGCTGGTCAGGCAGGGGTGAGTCTTATATTTGTGTGGTGCCTCGAAGAGAAAGACCACTCAAATAAGATTCTGCGCCTCTCCCCTTCACATTAAAAGCCACAGAGTTGTCCTGTTCCTGCATTTTTCAGCCAAAATGCCAACCCATCAAAAATTCAAAAGTAGGTTTTAACATCAGCTTCAAAAATTAAATGGGTGAAACCCACTACACATTTACACAATGTCTTCTGACTAATGACATCATTCGGGCTATTTCTGCATTCCAGTTGTCTGCTTTTCAGCAGAATGTTCCAATGACTTAAAGTCACATGCTTTTAGTCAATGGCCACAACAGTAATTGAGAAAACGGCTTTTAGACCTTTTTCTTGCACTTGCATGTGGGAGTACACTAGATTCACAACCTTGTTTACCTTCATATTGCAAGAAAAAAAAACAGGGATAGAAGGATACAGATGCACAAAAGAACGACTGGGCTAAATTAGCCAAACTACCAAAACATACCTGTAGTGGGAGGAGTGCAGTTTTGAAGAGTTCAACAGCAGATGTTCAAAAAGGTCATTTCCAGAACCATAATTAAGGCTATGAAAGAAAGATTTTTGATTCATCATAACTGGGCCCTGATATGCATTGCCTGTATTTTACAGGTATTTTGTTTTATAACGTCAAGGAGACTAATTCTTTAATTAGCACCCAATGAGCATAAGTGATATAGTGCCCAATTTGAATGACTAAAAGAAAATCTGTTGTGAACAAAGGGCAGATCTAAGAAAAAAACCCACTATTCTGATGGAAAAGATGCAGCTTTACAACATGTGAAATGGGGGATGAGCAATGAACTTGTTAATGAACCAACAAGCAACCATATTTCTGTTGTTAGCAGCAGATTTCCTACATGAAAGCAAAAGCAATAGATCTCAGCAATGACTACAAACTCTCTCTTTTTATTCAGAAAGAGCTGGCATGAGGGTGAAAAATAAGTTCAAAAGAAAGAACTACTAGGTCACGAACGATGTACACGATAGATAAGCAAATGAAAGAGCAACAAAGAGAGACTGTGCACTATAACTACTTGTTTAAACATGCAGGGGAAAATTTGACTGGGAAAATAAAAAGTGAAATTCCACAGATTAGACTGTGTGCAAGGCGCAATGATTACACTACAAGAAAACAACAAGAACTTCGAGCAGACGCACATAAAGAGTACATTAGGATCCTGATTCCAGGTGGTCACAGAACTGATGGCTGAGTAGTGCCTGCACAGCTCAATAGTCACATTGTTTTGTGTTTATGGGAAAAATAAACACTGCAGAAAACAGCAGAGAGCTGGCAATGCAATATTCTAACACAATGAAACTCCTAATCAAAATTGGATACCAGGTACTTGGGGGTTGCAACACCAGAGTTCCCAAAGTTATTTGTAGAGCATTTTCCATGCTATTTATTTTCGATATCACATACTGTAGCTGTAGGGATACAGTCCACTTTTACTGATCTCCCTACCTTGCAATAACAAGGTCACTACACCATTAAACCTCTAAAAATTAACTAATCACCATAAAACATAGTGGATAATCACAGGCTGCTAGACTACATTCCACATCATTTCTATTTATTACTAATTCCATTTAATTGCTGTTAGTGTAAATACTCCTTGGAGCTAATGTAGACAAAAAAATTGCTTAACCTTAATATTTTGATGTCTATTATATAACATCTGTGTTATAAATATACACCACTGTTTGGGTAATATCAATAGATACTGTCCTACTTACTCAGCAGTCCATAATGCTGTATACTAAGAAAAAACGATGGATTTTCTACTGTTTATGTTGGCTTAAGTGAGCCGACAGAACGACAAAGGCAAAACATCTGACAACACCGGAACCATATTCAATAATAAAGGATAACAAAACACTGTGCCCGAGACAATATCGTATCTTCTGCAACAGGTATTTGATTTTTCTAACAAGGTTTAAGATGAAGTGTTCTTAATTGAGTTGACTAAACGTTTGCCTTTTAGACTTTTCTAACTTCTCATTTAAGAACTCCAATAGCTTAGCCGGATATAAAAAAAGTAATGCTTTAAATCCAAATTAAATCCTTTGTCATCTGAGTATCCAACTTTCTTCCACAGAAATCCTAGAATTACTTCGTAAAAGCAGAGTCAAACGTGCATTATACATTATACAAGCAGTAAAGACTCATACCACAGTAAGGACTCATTCCCAAGCATATTGTTGTCCAAGGAAGCGTCTATCTCGCAATTAGCTCGATTACTTTGTCATCTCGTGTTTCCAACGTGTCTTAACAAGAGTATTGGGTGGATAAAATAAAACCACGTTAACCTTTAAAACATTAAACAGGTCAACTATAATCTTGCTGGTAGCGCTTTATACGCATCGAAATAGTTAACTTTCCAGGTCTGACATCTACACTATATGACAAACAGAAAACACTCAGGCGGAATGTAGGTCCACTAAATAAAACTACACTTCTGGTTCTGTTAAACTTTCTTAAAAACATTAGAAATGCGTGAACTGCGTTTAAAGGAAAAAGAGCACCAACACGAAAGCTATCGTTAAAATTCCTACCTTAAAGTCGTGTTCTCCAGACTCAATGTTTGAGATGTTCGCTGTGTTAATAAGGAAATTAAAACGCGCTCACGTCCTGCCAACAGTTTGCAAAGTCATTAAACGTGCAAAGGCGCAAAATGATAAATCCGGCTTCTTTTGGAGGCTTTGTTACAAACCGGACACAGTTCAAAGCAGGTGGGAAACATAAGTAACCTCCTCGATCATTCTCGTTGTTGTCGGATAACCTGCCTCTCTCAGCCACAGCTCTCCGGCGCTGCCGGTCGCTTCCCAGATTCACACTCCCTAACTTCAGGATATTATTATGCTGTGATTTCACCCGGAAACACAAAGTTCTCAACACCCTCCCACAGCAATTGTCAGCCTCCGAAAAATGCTAAAGACCTTCTTTTTACTGAAGTTTGTCCGTCGCTGAGTACATCGGAAAAAGAGGTATTTTTGTTTTTCTGATGTGGCGGGTCGTATATTCGACCCAGCTTGTCAAGTGTTTCATCAAGGCATGCGCTTGACCCTCCTGTTGAAATCCTCAGAATCCACAATAGTTTAGCTCAATTAACTCGATAGGATATTCATCCGGTTTGTGACAATTAGACTGTATATCCTGCCCCACGGCATAAGCATTTCTTGAGCAAATCATTAAGCGTTGCATAATTCATATGACAGTGCATTAGCCAGACGGTTCCGAAGATGAACTGTCTGTTTTTGAAGGAGGTGCGTGAATACGTAATTGTTGATCAGCTCAACCTTATACAGTCATGATAACTAATGATAGTTTTGCTGTTCTGGTAAAATCTTGGGACAGTTAACATATATGCGTGGGTGTCAGCTAGTTTTGCATCATCTTAAACTGAATAACTCTCAGACACAGAAAGAACGTATTAGAAAAGCTCAGCTGTTTTTAAACCTGTTATCAAAAACATTTCACCGAACTGAGATGTTGCTGACGTAGTTATGGAAAAGAGAACATTGTGTTTGGAATATTTTGCTTTAATCTGAACAAAAACAATAAACAACATGTAGTGACTCAGTAATATTAGAAACAATACATTGTCTTAATATAAAACAATACTATGCCAATTTAGCAATACATTATTAAAAACCTAAAGTTTTTACATATTAATTTATTATTACCCTTTTTCATGAAATGCAGCTGTTCACTTTCAGAAAGAACAGTATGGCGAGGCATTCTTCGGTGTATACTATGTACTTGGTCTAGCACACTTAAGCTAGCAATGATATCAACTCACAACTCAGCAGAAATGAGGCTGGCCAGTACCTAGTGGAGAGACCTCCTGGAAAGGTAAGGTTGCTGTTGGAAGAGGTGTTAGTGGGGCCAGTAGGGGGCGCCTACCCTGGAGTCTGCATGGGTCCTAATGTCCCAGTAGAGTGACAGGGACACTGTGCAGTAAAAAGGGTATCGTCCTTCACAAAAGATGTTAAACTGAGGTCCTGACTCTCCTGGGTCATTAAGAATCCCGGCGTGTTTCTTGAAAACAGTTGGTGGTGTTATCGTTGTCCTGGCCAAATGTCCCCCTGGCCCTTACCAATCACGGCCTCCTAATGCTCCCGAACTATAAATTGGCTTCATCACTCTGTTCTCCTCCCCACTGAGAGCAGGTATGGGGGGAGTGTACTGGTGCACTGTGGCTGCTGTCACATCATCCAGGTGGGGACTACACATTGACAGTGGAAGGGAGTCCCTGTTATCTGTAAAGCACTTTGAGAGGAGTGTCCAGAAAAGTGCTATAACAGTGTAAGGAATTATGATAATAATTTATTCTTACAGTTCTATAACACGAATTATTATTATTATTTCCAGAAACTACGGATAAAAAATGCTCAGATTAGTATAGCAATCTCAGAATCTTAGAAACGACTCTCAAAGCAATGAAAGATAAGTCTGAACTTTCCCAAGCAGTTCTTTCAGAATGGGAAAGACGCCACAGTTTACATCTTTTAAAATTGTGTTCTTCAGGGACCTCTAGTGGCACAATATGAACATCCCCCAGTATGGATGATTCCTGGGGTCTCAGATAAACGCAAAGATGCCCCTCAGATAAACCTGAAATAATAAGACATAATAATGAGAATTATAGCATTTTGCTTTGAGTTTAGAGGGGAAGGGGAGATGATTAGGGTTCCCAGCTTAAAATACATGAAAAAGGTGCCCCCAGGCAGATACAAATTAAGACTTTCTTGGCTAACCTATTTTTTTTTATGTCCTTTGTACGTAAATTAGATTTCTGGTTTGCTTTTCTATTCCTTAATTGACATGATTAATTATTTTGATAAATTTCAATAAATAGCAACAGAAGTACCAATAATAATCTCTAGTATCTTTATTTAGCATGTCTCATTACAGGAATCACAAGAATGTATACATAAAAGCCTGACAGCAGTAACAGCATGAAGCTACACGCAATTGCAATGTTTTAGCTGTTAGACTTTTACTGTAAACCATCAGATCTATAGAACATGTTAAAATGTGCCATTTAACAGGCGAGGACAGCTGAGGTGGATTAAAACGACCCTGTGGTCTTTCAATGTTGGGGAAAGAGGGCTCTGTTTCAAATGTCTGCATCCCAGCACAGCAAATAAAAGACTCTGGTCTTAACCTCAAAGAACGCCAGGCATGCATACAAGACCCAAGCTGGCTGTTTTTTCTCTCCGTCTGCGATACAACACTAAACTCCCGTTCCATTGGATTACCTACAAAACGGAATGAAAAAAAAAAGATAAACTTTCTGACTAAAAGATCATCTCCTGCTACTGCGTGGTGTGGTACCCCTCCCGCAGGTCCTACGAATGAAGGGAAACTGATGGTGTCAGACAATATTTTTTCACCCATTCGTCTTTACAGACTCCGAAAACTGAATGTTCTTGGAGCTCCCCCTGGCTGTACGAACACTTTCACAAGACGGCAGTGAAGATGTAATGGTTAGGAGGGAAGAGGTCGTTTAACAATACAAAAAAAAAACTGTGTGGCAGTCTCGCCTTGGTTTATTCTGACTGGCAAAAGATGAGCTGGTGTGTGCAGGGAACTAGCAACTAAAAGAAACTTCGTAAATAATTCGTTGATGAAAACACAAGCTGACGTCGAATAGCTCCCCTTTACCTTTTCTGTATTTAAGATACTCAATGACCGTGTGTTAACAATTGTGGAAAATGTGTTAGAGGTATTAATATTTTCTCTTATGAATGTTTTAATGATTTTTTAATAAAATGATCTTCGCACGAAAGACCAAGACTGGTAATTGGAAGTGTTCTCAGAGCCGGTTGTCTAGTTATATCCGATTTCAATTGAAGATCCTGCAGGTGTCGGTTCTCAGCTTGTAGAACAAATTCCTTGCCGTATTGTGAATCAAGGTAGTGTGCAGTTAAAAAGGCGTTGTTAACAGTTGTTGTAAGCCCCAAGATAGTATCTGTGATGCAGTACAACGGCAACTCTCAATCGTTTAAATCAAATCAAAGGACTAAATGCGGTGAACAGAAAAGAGGCAGAGATCTCGCCATTCTTGGCTGTAAATATTATTTCCCAATCGTATTATTCTAGCTACAAATATTATCCGTGATGACATATTTTCTTCTGAGCTGAAAATACAAAAAGAAGTATTCTTGTTACTATCCAAGCCTCCTTTAGATAATGTAGTTCAGGTAATGATAACGACCCACTATTGAATTATGAGTAAATAATGTCATGTTCATACATGACAGACATGAACACTAGTCCTTCCTAAAGCCAGCATCTTCCTGAAACACTTTGCTGTACTAGAACTATCCACAACTATATCTCGAGTAGAAACATCAATACGGTTACTATACCGTCGTTTCAGAAAGACCAGGAGATTTGTTCTTTAAGTCTTGAAAAAAAAAAACACATACTGTACAAGTCTATCCTATTTCTACAACATTCACAATTAAAGCAAAGTACCAAGCAATGACACCGTTTGGAAAATTGCTTCAGATTGAAGAAAGGCTTAATTGAGAACATAAGACGTAAAGTAAAATGAACGTGCAAAGGTTGATTCCACGCTGAGAAGCAGAAGAAAGACAACATTTTGTCTGTCGAACCTTCTTCAGGTATTCATATTTTGCAGCCAGCTCACGCCGACACAGCCCCCAGTTCAAACTTTTTGAAGCAATTAAATAATTTCCACTTAGATTAATCACTGAGTCCAGCTCCTCCAATTACACAATAATTAACAATTTATTGCCGGTAAAAGTACTTTAACATATGAGCTGCCAGTTGACAAGTCAATGCAGACAGACACAAACACACGAGCAAATCATCAATTTATAATGGTTTTAGTTTTAAACGTTAAGTGCTTTTAATATTCCAAATAAGAACTTGTGATTTTCTGGACATTTTGTTAGCCAAATGGAAAATGAAAAGTTTAAAGTATCACTTTACCGAAGTATTTGTCCCTTAAATGTGACCTTAAGGTTTTGTGCGGCTGCATAATATATTTTTCTCAGAAGCAAATGGTCAGAATAATTCTACCCATACAGTCACTTTAACCCATATAAATTTTTATTGCCTTTAATTTGCTAAACATATGATCAGCTTTAAGAGCGAAAAACAAAACAGGGTAACATCCAGCATGGTTCTATTACGGAGTTATTTTGTTTTTATTTGATTAAATATACCCTAATTCAATCCAAACTAGAATTTGGGTTAATCGTATAATATGAGTTTACCCTGTAATAAAAAACAGATTGGACATGAAAGGGAACATCATATAAATGCATATAATTACATATAGCAAAATATATAATTTGTTTAATTGTGAATTCCAGCCAAGAAAGAAAGATATAATTGCTTGAAAGGAATACTTTCCAATGAAATTATACTGAAACCCTAAGATCAAGCACAATGCACACTTAAAATGAAAGCATAATACGGAGGTCAAATTGAAGGCGAGTGCTGAGCCACATCTGTGCAGTATTATTCAAAGTCCTATGTTAGAACTTTAATCTGTTTCCTTTAATGGCATACTGTAAATATTAAACGATGGATGAGTAAACCTATAACCAAGTGAAATAATAGACATTAATTGCTTTTTTGAAATGCTCGCCTCTATTCTTAAAATTATTAGACAGCTATATTGTTTTGAAACTTATCATGAAAACGAAAAGTTAAATAAGGATAGAAAATATAATTTGAAATAAAAACAACAACAAATGGGACGTTGACAATAAGATACTCCTTAAGCATGTAGATTTAAATATCTTTTTCCGGCGTCGGATTAATTTCAAATGATGTTCTCTTTTAACTGTTCTGTTGTGCATTGTAAGGATAGTAAGCTAAGGTAAAAGTTGAACTGAATACACCGCGGGTTTCTCATCTTAGCGAGTAACACTCACAATAAAGGAACAGTGGTTCTACACTTAATCCGCATACCAGAACCCCTATGGAGAGGAAGCTTGTAAAAACATCATACACAAAAAAGTTAACTATAGAATTCAATAAAATTTTCTGTGCAAAGAAAACAAACATCTGACGAAATGTCAGTATCGAATGTTACGACCCATGTATACTATTTAAAATTTTGCTAAGCAAAAAACAACAACAAACAAATACTTTGTAATGTGATTAGCTTGGTTTCAGGTCTATTCTATGTGAAGCAATGTAATCATCACATACTGTACCTGAAAGTACAAAAACTCCAATGTGTACCCCCCTCTAGCGGCAAGTTCGTGTTTGACTGGATAAAAACGCCTTCATGGTCTATTTTGGGGGAACTTTGGATACAAAAATAACAAAAACCTACTGAAACCAAGTTCACGGGATGATCTTGCGGATGCTCTGACCCTCGGCTTTTCAGATGTCCAAGCTTTAAAACCTCCTCAGTGTAAAATAAAGTTGAGCTTGAATTGGTTTTGGAAGCTAGAAAACAGCAAAACAT